CCCCCGCAATAAATAGAGGCCCCGCCAGTCTGGGCATAGTGTACCGGGGCCGCGGTGGAGGGAGGGGCGCGGGCACGGAGGGTCCGTCCCTCGGTCATCATGGTGCCATTCCCTTTTGGGGCGTCCCTGGGCTTGGGCGATATCAATCTCGCTGGATCTCGCAAGAGAATGACCTGTGCCCTTTGTCTTGGGGCGTGAGCTTTGGGCCTGCGAAAGGGCACACTCCCCCTGCTTCTGCGGTTCCCCCGTGGGGGCGCGGGGGGGCGCGGGGGGGGGGGCGCGATGCCGGGATCTCCCCGGCCAACTGTGCCTGGGGAGGGGCGGACCGCGAGGAACAGCCGGCGGGGGCGGGCCACGGGCCGGGGAAGTGGTGCCTGCCCAACCCCGGGGACGGGGCACTCCGGGCTGTGAGCATACATGGCAAACGCAATCTACGCAGGTACGCAGGTGGTTGGCCCAACGGTGAGCCCGAGCCAGCGCGGGCGCACATTCCCACACGAGCCGGAGCGTGGAGGGGCCCCAGCTCTACGGCGGGGTGGCCGGCGCGCGTCCGCGGGGCAGGGGGGGGGGGGGGGGGACAGGGGCGCTGGCGCGGGCGAAGAAGCACGGCACGCGTGCGGATGATCTCCCCAAGTACAGGCAGTGGCGAAGAACAGCCCCCTTCCCCCCTCGTCCCGGCGCGCGGACCGGCCGCCGGCGGCCCCAATCCGCCAAGATGCTGGCTAGTTGCTTGTGCTGCGGCAGCCGCGCGGGGGCACGCTCGCGATTGCCCAGGGCACGAGGCCGCCCGGCTATGGCACGCAAAATCCTCGTCACTCGCCGCCGGGGCCGGCGCCTGGGACGACCGGGAATCGTTCACTGCATTCCTCTCCCCCGGACAGCCCCAGGACGGGCAGCCCGCCACGCTCGCCCCGTAAAGGGGGGTGGGCGGACAGCCCTCGGCGAGCGCGCCCCCCCCCCCCCCCCCCCCGCCCGAGGGGACTTGAGCCCGGGGAGGGAAGCGGGGGTGGACGCCTAGCCCTTCTCCCCTCAGCCACAAAGGCTCGGGCCTCAACGCGGGCACGTATGTCGAGGGGGAGGGGCACAGTCATTGGCATGTGGCCGGGCGGAGATGGCCCCCGGCCGGCTGCCACAGCGCGGAGGCGGGCGGGGGCACGATCGGGGGCCGTATCGCACGGCGGGCCGCACGCGCGCATGCCGGCCCGCCCGCCCGCCCGCACGCACGCACGCACGCACGCACGCACGCACGCACGCACACGCGCCGACACGGCGCCCCGCCGGGTCAGGTTGCCGCCTCCGAGCAATCTCCGGCCGGCCGGGTCGGTTCTCCGGGACAAACGAAGTTGAGAGCCGAGCAAGGGGGAGGCAGGGGGGGACACATGAAACAGCACAGCCCCGCGGCCGGCCCCTCCCCGGGTGTCCCCTCGGGAGCGAACCCGAGTTCCGGCATTCCACCGGTCGCCCCGCGGTGGGAGGGGGCGCCGCGCCCCAGCGGGAGGGCTCGCCCTTGGTGGCGGTGTTCTCTCGGCCGCCCCTGGCCGCCACGCCCAAAAGGGCGGGAGCATGACGAATGTACCCGGTGAAAAGGGCTTGGGGAAACAGCAAAAAAAAAAAAAAGGGCATTAATATATCGGAGGTGTGCCCGGGATTTGCCCTCGTCCCTGCCGGGGATCCCCCCTCTCCCCGGGCCGGCTTCCCCGCCCCTGCTGGTGCCCTCCTTGAGCAGAGGGTTCTTGCCCGTTGGCTCCCCCCCCCGGCCAGGGAGGCACACTTTGCCGTGCATTGGGCCATCTCGCGCGAGTGCACACGCACACAGATGCGCGCGCGTCTGCGGCGTGGTGGCGGGGGCGGCTTACGGCAACAACTGACCGGGGCCGGGGGCGTGATGCTGCGCACCATCGCACGCGCTCCCGGGGTCCCCCGCCCGGGCAGGGGAACGGCCTTCGGGCTTGGGCCACTGTGTGCGGGCGCCGCCCGCCAGTCGCCCTTGGCCGGAGGAGCACAGAAAAGGGCCCAGCTGGGCCTCGACCGACCCTGGCCCCTCATGCGTGCGCGCCATACGCGCACAGTCTAGAGCCCCCGGCCCTTCTCAGGGCGGGGTTCTGTTTCAGGCCGCACCGGCCGGTCCGGGGTCTTTGTGGCCGGCGCGCGCACGTCCCGCCGTCCCCCCCCCCCCCGCCTCCGCGGCCTCCCCCGCGGACGGCTCCGGCGGGCGTTGCCTGTTTTCCCGGCCGTGGCAGAAACCGGTGGGGGGCGGAGGCGGAGGCGGAGGCGGGGGACGGGCGGGCGGGGGCGATTCCCCCATGGTGCACCCGCGGCCGGTGACCGATCCCGGAAGGGGAATGCACACGCGCGCCCCCTGATCCCCGGGCCCTTCCCCGATTTTACATCTCCCTCCCCATCTCGCCATCGCCCCAGTTTCCCGTCCCAGTGGGCTCCCCCTCCCGGCCTCGCGCGAGACCCGGCCCCCGGCCAGACCGGCCTGTGGGGGCATATCGGCCGCCAGTTTTCGACTCCTCCCTACCAACCGCGCACACCTTTCTCCAACACCTCCCCCCCCCTCTCTCTCTCTCTCTCTC